TGGTTTTCGAGATAAAGGACGAAAAGTAGTTAGTATCGCCAGTGCACCTTAAAATATTCGTTGACTGAATTACCGATGAAAGATCATTGACGTACAGAAGGGGAAATAACTATCGTGAGAGAACACTAACGTCGCTGAAATTGAAAATAGCTCTAAATGAGCTACTAGTGCAGAGTTTGTCCGTTTCAATAAGTGTGACAATGTAAGGTTGAAGTTTAAAAATGATGAAAATGAACACGGTAAAAGGCTTCACCGAAGTCCATACATAAGCCATCTTTTTGCTGGCCGCAAGATAATGTTTTGAAAACATAACAAGTAGATTCTAAAAAGCTTGTTACAGTCGATTTTCCTTTTACAAGTGATATTAATAATTTGACGGGAGAATCCCTTCGATGCGAAACGATTCGTTCAAACTGTTTTGGTAAAACGCTCAACTTGGCAATGCCTACGTAGTTCTCCTACGTTCTCCAAACGATTTCGATAATATCCAAGATTTTAGCAGAAATTAAAAATGTTATTTTATTAATCCCATCGATACCCTAAAATCAGCGACAGAACACAATATACTACTTTATTAGAACTACTAGGCTTAATATCTAATGTTCTTTTTTAAAATAGAACCGATGGCCCCTGTTGCTAATGCTCAATGTCTTTTTCGTTTTAGTCTAAGAATTTATGTCGTCAGTATATTTATAATATTCAAAATAAAACGCTACATTGTTCATTAGCGCATGGTTTAAGAATACTTGATGAGATGCCATCGTGAGCTGGCAGCCCCAAAAGCTCTTTTGTGGAAAGAATTGGAAATGAATCTAACGCATCGCTTTCGATTTTTCTCAATAACGAGAAAATAATATCCGATCCGGTTGACGAAACTACGTTGGTGGGTGGAACAATTGCTTCAAACTCCGATTTACTCCATGGCAATCAAATACTACCATCGCTTGATATAGTAAAATACTCGATGTTTGCATAATTCTGCGGAACGAGGGTCTGTAAAGACGTTCTTTCCAGTCTCAACACGCGGAAAACTCCGGGGCATTTCATTCGTTTCGCTTTATCAAGACCCCATGGAGCGATATAAAACAAGCGCTGCATTATGAACGGCGCAAGAAGTCGTGGTGTCGTAAATATATATCAATGGTGTTAGGCAAATCGGATACGTTATAAAGCCATTAAATCTCAAAGCTGTCTCTGAAGGAGCAGGAAAGTTCGTTAACAATTTATTTATTTTGGTTGTGTCAATGTAGAAGAATCCGCAATCCTTCATATTCTGAAAATACCAAATATACCAAATGATGTTCACTGGATGGAGCTTGGGTCGAAATGTCGAAAGATAACGCTTGGATGTGTGAACGGCAGCCCCAAATTTCGCTTGCAGGCCGCATACAGCGAAAGATTTAGGTGATCATGGACTAAAGTGCGTTCAGAACTCTCAATATCCTTGAACGGCGTAACGAGGGTTGCGTTGCGCTTATGTAGGGCAAGCGATTGCAGAGCAAGCTTTCTACAGACATAAAAGAGATTTACCTACCGATTAAATCCTAGCACCATGGATCTATCCCACTGTGCCTGGTGGCACCATTTCCATGACGAATGTTTGAACATGTCCTCATGTAGCTGTCAGATGGGAGACTTACTGAATTATATGTTAGGCGATGATATAAAAGCGCTTCATATGTTTAATTAGATCCACCGGTAAATTGATTACTTGGTTACAAATGGTTGATTCGATGGCGAAAAATGCCCAAAAGAAGTTAGCACATTTCGTAATTTTTTTTGACCGCCAACATTTATACATACTGTATTTATTAATTTCGCGAACATGTACAATAAAAGGTTTAAAATTTTGCTTCTTGATGATTATCGTTAATAATACTCTGTTATTTGTATTCAATACCGGAGGATAGCGGTATATTGATTTTTTCTTGTTCTTATTAGTTTGAATTGGATTCATTATGCTCGTGTATTCGTCTGTCTGTGCGTCCGTCTGCGTATTGTCTGTTCTAAACATTCTCTTGAACGCAAAAATGAAGTTTAGTGCTCAAATTTGGAAGAAATAATAGATGTTTTCACAAACAGGTTGATATTAAAAATAGGCTTAATCGGTCGAATTATGCCCACAGTACGAATTAATGCATCCAATCGTTCAGTTCTCCCATTAAATAAGCAAACTCTTCTCTCTTTCACTATTTTACCAGACATCGTCACTTATGACGTTATAAAGATTACTCGTACTCCAAAAGAACAAAAGGTTGATAAAAGCAAAGCATGATTTCAAAATTTTACTACTCGGCATCATAGAATAAAACGATTGACAAAAATTCCCTTATAAGTACGCAAAATCACTATATTGTATGGGATTGCGTTTTGCGCAAAATTGAAAAAAAATGCACCAAATTGAAAATATCAGCTTGAATTTAAGACATTGGAAAATAAAAACAAAATTATCATTTGCGATGACTATTCTCAATTTGCCATTAGTTTTGCTTTTAGCAGTACGGGTAAGGAAACATATTCGCAGAATAATGTAATGAACAGACATCGTCAAAATTTTTATTTACTCTCAAAAAATTGAACGGTGTACTCGTGAAGTTTCAGCTAAACATAGACGCTGGAATAATTTATCTTTATTTAACACAGTATATATGCAAGCTTACCGACTCTAGTGTAAACGATAAAGTAATGAGGTTGAAATTGAACCTTAGCAGCATTATAACTGTTACTTCAGCAGGTCTGCATTAATTGTACTTATATTTGTTGTAGTCACTACCAAAGGCTTGTTGCATATTGGTTTTGCAAAATATTTGCAATACCAAAAAAAAAGTTTTGGAATAGATAGTATGCACATTGTGGTGTCGATGAGTAGTTGTTAGTCAAAATGGCGACGCAACAAACACTCGCAATACTAAAAGCATTCCGCAACAAAATGTAACTGATCGCAATTTAATTTCAGTAGGAAACTCGAATTTTGAATAACTGCGGATCCGTCAAAACATATACCTGCAGTACAATACAAACTACAAAAGACACAGCGGTAAAAATGATCTACATTCTATAGTACATATACAAAAATGCAAAACTCTGTTCGTCCCCACACAATATTGTACAGAATCAAAATCACATTTTTTTTTTTGACCTTTTAAGAAGATTTACTATACAAAAAATTTCCGACCACCATCTAATATAAATATTTCACAGTTTTAGTTTCGTTTTCATTGCTTAAGTAGCGGAAATATATTCTTAAATTCATTCTATCTGATATTTGTCTCAAGCTTTATTTGGACCCTTTTTTTCTTTTTTCGATACTATACAAAAAATTTTGCTCTTGTCATTTTTTAAGGTACCTGCAAGTCCTCATAAAAAGGATTTATTAAATATCTTAGATCGTGTACCGACATATGTTCAAACTTTACAATTCACAGTTAAAGACCATACTGTAGGTCCATCCGCTACATTTGTTAAAGTGGATCATGTTATACGAGAAACAAAAAACTTAATGTGTGTAATCAACAGTGTTGTGACCAAGTGCCTGGAGTGTGCTACCAAGGTGAGGATAAATAAAGAAATAGAATAGAATCTGATATTATTGCATCCCATTATATCGTCATTTTCAGTACAATCTGGACTTCAACAGTATAGTTGGCGGCATTAGTACCGGTTCTTTGCATGGTGATGACTGTAGTGCTGGTGCAATGGGCGATTCAAAAGGTTCCAGCAATAGTACCGAAGGCAGTATGTGACATTACGGCATGGCTCGCCGAGCCAAACCAGACGGTCGACGAACTCGTGTGTCCTTTTTACTTTTTTGATTAATATTCGTCAACATAATAACAATAAATTCAAAACACATGCGTACGCATACTGTGTATTGTTTATGTACGGCTAGCTGTAGGATTGACTTTGTCTTACATTTTCTTATTGTAATGGTTGACTTGCTTATTCGTGCAAGGCTGCAACTGAAGGCACATACATGTAAAATATGTACAAAAGTCGTTCACGTAGGAATGTTTATTATGAGCAATATAGGGGGTAAGAAGATGATTTGAAGGCGTTGTTACTTTTGCTTTAATTATTTATGAAAAGCTAAAAAGCTAAATTAAAATAAATAACATAAATATAAAACTTTCAGTTCTTTTTTAGTTTACAATTTACATATTTTAGTAACATGCTTAACAAGTACTATTGTATTCAAAATTTCATATTGTGTAACGTAGAGCTTAATTAAATTACCTCAATGGTTGTTAAATATTTGTAGCCCACAGTACAACAACACAAAATTGTTTAGCGATCATGTAATATTGTGTGGCTAAATAAAGAATAGTTTATTTCAATAAAAAAATATAAGAAGCTAATAAATTCTAAAGACTTACTAAAACGTATATACGTATCGTTTGAATATTTAATAGCGCATGGACGTACAGTAAAAACATTGTATGTATAACACAAGACATTTCGTTAGCAACATAATTATCATGACTTATTTGAAGACATTCAATATAAATAAACTTTTATAAAAAATTTTTCGATTTTGGTCGTTCGCAGACACATATCCGTTGATTTTTTTCATTTTGAGATAACTGTCGGCTGATTTTTGGTAACTTTGAGAGATTTGTCGACTGATTTTTGATAATGTCGAGAATTCAATTTTTATGGTACAGGTGTTTTTTCAGGGTAGAGGATTTGCGATATATTGAAAACAACTCTGCGCTGAATGTATGGTGGAGTGAAAGATAAGACAATTTAAATTCATTAAAAACAAGAATAATAATAGAAAAAATTTAGAAATGCCCAAGTAAAATAAAAATAAACAAATAAATTTATATTTGATTGATATTATTTGGGTTTTGTATGATGTGAGCAAAATTTACTTAATCAGAGAAACAATTCTGTACAGGTGCTTTTTGTAGAAAATTTCATGCAAACGTGTCAAATATAAATAAAAACAAAATAAAAATGTTGCGGGGAGAATTTTTCTCAGCTTTAGTTTTTCTGTGTCAATTTTGCATCTTTTGGGATTGATTTAAAGTGTCGCGAAATATATGCTAATTGATTTGGATGCATCCTTTCTACTACATGGATTATGGATTGATGATTTTTAAAATCTAATTTGAATCTAAATAAGTACAATGTGAATATGTAAGTTGTAGACATCTACATAAAGAAAAATGTATGTATAATTAATAATTTGAAAGATCATCGATTTGTATATATAGCATGTGATTTAATATTACTAATTCTCCTTTTATAATAGAGAGAAATCAATAAGTCTTAAACATATTATTATAATATATAAATGGAATGCATTGCAAAAAGGAGAAATTTTTAACCTATTTAGATACAGTTTCGGGCATCGAAGAACAAACTAGTGGTCGTGCGTTTGACGATGATGTAATCGAGAAAGTGATAGTGGACCGTGTGGCGCGTATATTGAAGACGAATGAAATACACGTTCAATTGCCTGAAACTCTTTTCGGACTGTCCTATCGAGTGGATTGCGGTTTCGATTTAGAAATACCACAAAGCGAAGGTAAATAAATAGACGCAAATATGTTGAATTAGTTGAAAAAAATTTGCCATTTATCGCAGCTCGTCGCGACAAGAAAAAGGATAAACTCTTGTTTCCCTTGTTGTTGTTGATGAAATTTAAATTGAAGATTATCACGCCTACGCTCTTGTCTTTGATCCGACTCAAGGCTTTGATTTTGTCGAAAATCGTTATAAAACTAGTGCTCGGATTCTTAATCTACAACTTGACTATGGCCACTGTCTCGTCTTATGACCCCAGCAGTGGGGAACCGATGAACGGTAGTCCAAACGCACGTTCTGATGCTTATTATATGGCATACAGCGCATATTAGCCCAGCAGATCTTACACCTCTTATAGCAATTCTTCTTAGAAAAACACAACACAAAGAACAACGAACAAAACATGTTTTAGAAATCCGCCTCCTTTTCGCTTACCTGCTGCCTACACCACCCAAAAAGGACAATCACCAGGCGGTTTTATATATGTAAAAAAAGGAAAAAGCCCAAAAATTATTAATAAGTAACGTAAAATGTCCTAGGACATGATGCTAAAGGACATGTTAATATATATAAATATTTATTTAGAAGATTTCAATTAATTCATTTTCAAAATGTTTTTCTTAACAACGGCAGTCGAGCGTCTGCAAAGAGCAAATTCAATGCGAGTGGATCGATTGACTTCAATTCCATTATTAAAATCGATTCAGGACGATAACAGAGACCACCGAAACCATGAGCGGCAAAAGCGTTCTATCGAATCAAATAACGAAAGTAATATATAAAACGGAAATGGTTTAATGAAACTATTGGCTTTAATTATGCAAGCGATTAATTCATTTAATTGTGCAGAAGGTCAACAGGTCTATGAAAAGCATAGAGGTCCCCGTCTGCGTGTTACCACCGTTTCTAGAACACATTCATGTATTATGGGACCATTTTTCCAATTCAGAATTGTGTGAAGCATTATATGAGCGATCCGGAGTTAATCAAATTTTAAAAGTGTGTTGTATTTAGCGAAAGAAAATGTTTTCTTAATAATTTGATAAGTAATCGAGGGAAAAGTGTTTTCTTTGCTCATATTTCCTTAACTTCTTTAGGGATTTAAAGACCGGAATGGAAAATTGGAATTTAATAAATTATTCGAATCGTTGAACAACAAATCGTTTCGTAGACGCTGGATAAAATCAGTTACACTTTATTCAGCTGATTGGGCCAGTTATCTCGCCAATCTCGACGTTTACTCAAGGCAAGCGAAAATGTAAAATGTCATCCAGTGGCTTTTATAGTCTAATTATCGACCGACACAACTTTTAACAAGTTTAAATCTTAAGCGCGTCATTGACTTTGTTAACTTCACCTCTTGACTTGACTTATCTTCAGATACTACGTTTATGCTCCTACATCATTTCACGTACGACAAACCAAGACTATTAACTAAGAAACAAGCTTCGATTAAGCACATCTATCTATCTCTTTCATTGCCTAACGTTATAGTGGAAATATATAAGCAGTTGGATAGGAGACCGGTTATGAATTACCAACTGTATCACTATACATACAGTAAACATCAATTTTAAATAATCTTCCTATTTTGTACTCTTGAGTTTAATTGTTCAAGAAATTTTGACAAATTGAACAAATTGAATATATATAATTCATATCTACGAAATAGTTGCGTTGCTTCACTTTAATAAGTTCAATTTCGTTTTGTATGTACAAACGCTTGTTAAATTTGGAACAACACTTAAAATCGCATTATCATATATCTTGCACTTTAAATTAATGTGTGTCATATTCACACCCGTTTTAACTAACTGAACGAGTGAAACAGTTGTCCGTTAAGCTTATATTCGTTGTAATGTCCTTGTTGGGGACTAACAACGATCTATTGTAATACGTTCCTTCCTATTAATTCGGGAAAACATTTTTTTTGTGGACTTTACTCGCTTCGTTAAATAATTTGAAATTATTTTTAAGTTTTGACTCTTTGTTGGACTTTTTCTGAGCTAATTTTCATTCAACAAATGGTAGGAGTACCAAGGTGTTCTGTTAAAGTAAGTGAAGTCTTAGTTTGATAATAGTAGTCACAAATAAATATTTTAACGATATCAGTTAGGTCGTGAAATTATTTTTGAAGACAGCTGTAAGGCGTTTTTTTTAGAGCTGACATTGTGTTTTGCAAAACCTGGCTAACTCACTTACATTACAAAAAGAAGAAAGAATTTAACTTACTACAAGTATTGTTGATGCGAGGGCAAATAACGGTGGTGACTGTAGATCGCCCTTTCCGAAAGCCGTGCTGGTGCAGAGAAATATACGAATTAATGGCAAAGGCCAAATGCTGAGTCACAATTCGCTCAAACAGCTTAGAGGAGACACTCAACTTGGACATGCCCCTGTAGTTCTCAACAAGTTGTCTACTTCCACTTTTGTGAAAAGAAATAAGGAAACTACTCTTCCAACACAAAGGGAAAAAGACTTAAATTCAAAGACCGGTTAAAAATCTTAGAGATAACACCATATAACTCGACAGCGCAGGATTTAAGTAAACATGATGGAATTCCATCAGGTTCAGGCGCACAACTATATTTTAGAGAGCTCAAGCCTTTAAAAGCATCATCTTCAGCAATAACCAAATTAGGAATTGAAACCAAGTTAGTTATAGAATATGGGTAGTTTGCGGATAAATCGGAATTAGCAGTCACAAAGTTTCGTCGGAAGTACTCAGCAAACAGATTTGAGATTTCAAAATCATACAAGGAATCAAAGCCATTAAAAGAAACATGCGCGGGATGTGTGGAAATTTTTCTTTTTGAGTTGACAAATTTAAAAAACCATTTAGGATTAACAAACAGAGAGGATTTAATGAACTGAAGGTATCTGCAAAAATATCGGTGATTGACGAAGTTAAATCTTGCCACGGAGTAAGCCAAATAGTCAAGAGCAGAGCCACTTTTCGAATATTTCTTGAATAGCGCGTTTTTTCTGTTCTTCTAATATTTAATTGTCCTATTAAACCACGGGGCACACCTGCTTCGAGCTCGGCACTGCTTGGTCGAATCAGATGCAGCAATAGCTAGATTTAATTTATTGATAGCTATATTTTAGCTAGATTTTATAGATTGATGACAATAAGCTTCCAATACTTCCGGGTGAGAAATCAAGCCTTATATGTGAAAGATGATATTTTAGCAATGCAATATTGTTTTTATGAAAATCGTAGTATTTATTTGAAAAAGTTGGATTTGGAACATTAAAACAGTTCAACGAACCATCATGCTTGTGATGAAAGGAAATACACATTGCTGGATGATAATGATTCTCAGGTAAAGTAAAAGGTGCGCAAGGATTTACACTAATCTCAGGGAAATTGGCAAAGCAGAGATCAAGTAGTCTACTATTACAATTAGGGGTACGGTTGTATTGAACTAACTTATGATCAAATAATTCGTTCAGCTCTACCAGATGTTGAAATAGAAATCAAACAGCCAGAATCATACCTAGTGACTTGAGGCAAATTGAAGTCTCCCAGCGCAACTACCAAATCGGTGGGTTTCGACTGCTTGGTCACTTCACAAATGATGGCAGCCTGTTTCTTATATATGGAGATATCAGAATTTAGGGGAATATAGGAGCAGGTTATAAATAGTTGTTTAGTAAGCATTTTCACTCGAATGGCGATAAATTCAACGTCAGCAGTAGTAGGAAATTCAATTGATTTGGACGGAAATGACGAAGATGTGGCAATTAATAAGTCACGACCAATGCGATCCAATCGATCATTTCTGAAAACCTGGAAAGAATTGCGAAAAGTTCAGATGAATGTAGATCAGGTTTTAACCAAGTTTCAGTGAAGACCACGCAGGAGAACTCCGTGCACACTGAATTTAAGAAGGTGGAACGAATTTTTGAATTTAGGGCCCTAACATTTTGATAAATGAGGGATAGTGAGCCTGAAGAAACATTTAGTTTTTTGAAGGCGACAGGACTGGTGGTTTAGTATTACGGGGTCGATCACGACGGATAAATTCCTTTATTAAGGATCCACCTGGCCACAGTGGTTTATCTAACAACATATCACTGTTTTCAGTCGGAACAAGAATTTTAAAAAAAGCGATTGCTCTAGATTGAGGCGGAGCTAATTTAAAAATATTGACCCGCTTTAGATTGACTGATGGGACTTTCGCCGCCAGATAACTTTATATGTTATCCACAGATGTATCGGGTGCCAGTCTTGGCTCAAATATTGCTTCTCTCTTGGAGGAACTGCCGTCAAGCAAATGTTATTACTACGAGGAGCAGTAGGGTTCACGACTGGGGAGTTTTGAGTTGGGGAGAATATAGATGGGGTTACCAAAGGAGCAGCTTGCGCCACATGATCAGATTGGTGACCAGCGTTCACACTCGAACAGCCAGGAGAGAGGATGATTTATATTGCTCTTTATTAGTTTTAGGCGGCGACGCCTGAGTTGAGTGAGTGACGCCACAAGGAGGCGATACTCTTGCCACTTCAACATAGCTTAAACCAGAAGGACTGACCTGCTCATTTGTAACTTTTTTGTTACAGACCGGCTCAGTCTGTGTGTTCTTTGAGGACATTATGGAAGTGCTAACGTGCACCAACGAATCGGACTTGGGAGGAATTAGAGGTGACGTACCACACGCTATTCTACGAGTTGTAATTTTACTAGCTTGGGAAGAAGAGGAGTGTTCAATGAAACGACACTGCGAGCCGAGATTTTTACTCAATTCAGAGAAATCATTTCCCGTCTCCGTGAACAATTTGTAGAAGTCTATGTCTCGCTTCCTACAGTCAGGACATGACAATCGTAACGCTTTCGAAGGGTCAACGACTGCATCAGCAGCACGGCCGATAAGCGTGGCCAAAGCGATCGCAAAGCCAACACGAAACGAATCTGTCAAATTCCGGACCCGTTTTCGCCCGACAAAATGTATAAGTTAAATAAGTTATAACTTATTGTTTTTATAAAATTTGGTTTACTAAAAAACAATTTATTTAACACATTTACTATTTTTCGTGCTATATTGATTGATGTTGATAAAAGACTGATTTAGTTCTTACAAACTATCTTACAAGAAATCTATGTTTTGTCCACTAATTGACAGTCAGCATTTTCGTTTGAAATGGAATGATGCGGCAGGATGCAATAGGAGAATGGTGAGAAATGTTTCTGTTAGTATGCAATAGGAGAATGGTGAGAAGTGCTGTGTTTGCTTACTTTATTTATTGCGGTGGTTCGTAACTTACGCTTTTGTTATGGTGGTCCTTAACTTATATAAACAATCCATGTGCAGTCTAAAAAACAGAAGT